AAGATGAGAATTGAATGGCACGACCACGTAAATAATGACTCTATTCTCTTCCGGGGGTGGGTGACCACCTCGGTAGATATGGAAATTAAGGAAAGCAAGTTAGTTCTGTTAGACAAACTGGCTGTGCATACACCATTTACTCCAGTCCGTTAACCTCTCAGGTGGGAGCAGAAGCGCGGCAAACATCGGCCATGAGACCGGCATGCAAGAAGGAGGTACAAGATAGAGCCAAATCTTGTATCAGAGAGAAATATTTCCTTCTGCGATGCAGTAGCCAAATCGCCTAAGCGTTGAAAAGCTCCGAATACCGGGGATATCACAGACAAGTGACGTTCTGCTTACGAAAACGGCTCAAGGCAATGAGCTCAAAAACAGACTGTCACTGGTCTTCATCAATCTATGCTATTTGCTTTGACTTGTGTCTTACGGGAAGATATGTTCATATGCCGCATAAAGAAACCTCGTACAGTTTTCAGGTAAAATGATGAAAATTCATGGTTAGAACAATCTCTTTGTAAATTACCTCAACAGCTGAGTCACAAAGCAATATTTTAAATCTACTTTACACCTTGTGATGAGTTTCAGTAATTAACAGATGGGTCAAAGCGAATTGCAGCCGTGACGCCCACGCATCATAAAGCATGGCTGTGTGACATGCTTTGGCATTGCCACACTAAAGCACCACACTGTCTGTATTATTCGCAGGTCAACGACTTGCTACTCTGTTTGCGGCTGGTTGCACTGGGGTTCATTCGTTGCTCACTGGAATTAGCAGTTAATAAGAGAAGTTTAACGCCCCCTTTTGGGCTTCAGTCTGTACTCTAACGTGCAGAGCAACCTTCTAGACAATTGCGCCACTGTCCCTCCCCCCTCCCTCTCCCCCAAGAAAGAAAGGAAACAGGACAGCAGGAAAACTTGTGTTTGTGAATAGTTATTCGGCATCTTGGTTTGACTCATCATTTCTGAATACTAAAGTCCTATTGTTGCAATTCAACTATACCTGTCAGGATACCCATGAATTTGGCTGGAGTTCATTTGTTCAAGATCAAATGTATTAAATGTATCAAATATGACTTTAGCGAATCAAACATACTGATCATAAAATAAGAGAAATAACGAAGACATTTATTTGCAGATAATGCAGAAGTTCACTTCCCATTATCTCCTGAGGCATTCTGAATGCCAGGAAAGTCAAAACGTCCTTACGTAGGGTTGCGTTCAGTGCCAGGTTTCTTAAGGACAGTATTTTTGATGGTTCATCATTTTCAAATAAAGAATTCTTAACACGTTCTAGCAATTTCTTGAACACTGCTTTCCTTTACGTTGAAGGAAAATGGACGGATAGCAAGTGAAGACGAAGGGGAATAAAATGTGGGTCATCGTACAGTGGACAAGCCGCTGTACTGTTTGAAACAGTCAGATGTTCGTAAGTTTCTGTAAATCTGCAAAGTAAGACTGTTTCCTACTACTTGGTAGGATGCTCCAAATCCTGCATAGTCAAGAACTGGCGGTGTAAGCCTGTTTTCAATATGAAGTCTATTGAAAGTGGCATATTCGAAGGAAATAACGAGACTTTGTGCCGCTTATCAAACATCAGATGGACCAAAGCCAAGGGGGAGGGGCAACGGTAAGGGTCCTCGCTTTAGACAGCATGGTCGTAACTCTTTCATAGTCTGTTGTGGCCATACCGTAATACCATGTTGCTCATACTGTATGCTAGTATAAGAGTTTCAACATTTTACTCGCCACAGACCCTTCATACACAACGGAAGTGTTACGTTTGATTGACGAGTGGCTAACCATAGACAACGATCTAATTGTGATAGACGACATCGTACCACATCTGAGATCTGCTCCTTGATGTACTTCCTTCAGCGCATTTATTATAAGTCACCTATCGCCACCAGTCGTCGCGATCACAAACACAACTTTGTATGGTATGATCGATTTCTCATGGAAGTCTGCATCACCGCAGCAACTGTCCATAGAAACGCATTGAACTGTGATTCGCCGAGCGTAATACCACCTCAAAATGATGCTATTACCGCTGCACGCTTTGGATATGATTGACTCTCCCTCATTGATGGACGATGGGCTCATCAGCAATGAAAGCTTATACTGGTCAGACCATGTGAGATCAGTGTTTGCTGCAGTTTGAATGGCTTCCTTCGACCTGCTGTCACTCATGAACTGCCAACATATCTTCTAAAAGAAGCAGTACCTTCCTTTGTCTGTTTATTGCTGCAGTTCTATAACGAGCCGCTTTATTGGTCGCACAGCTCAAAGGTCAGCAAGTAGAATGGACTGCAGACTAGGCCACAAAAGTGGTACGGTAGTTTGGTTATTCCCTGTTGAAAGACTCAGGCCATAGTCTGAACATGTAAAGATTGCAAACGCTCGTTTTCAAGACGCTTAAACTAAGCTGTTTGGTGCTCTGCTGGCTGGGACAAACTTTACAACCGTTCAATTACACTTTTCTGTCGAATGTCCTGCGAGATCCAAACGGGAGAAACATATGAACGCTGATTATTTTAAAAAAAAATCAAAATCAGGGTTATGCTTTCTGCTGATTATTACAAGGATATTTGGCTATAAAGGCAATTGGTGAGATTTGCAGCCACAAGGGCTGCTCGAATTGAAGAGCATGGCCGTGAATCTCACTCATTCTGGTAGGACCACACAAGAATACTATGCTCTCACCGTTATTTGCAAGTCTCGGACTTACGACTCGTTACGCAGAAGCAACGGGGGCCAATTCCTTGTCCAAGAGAATTCGCAGTTAAGTCAAATATGGTCCCTTACTTCATATTCGAACCCGACACCCTGTTCAAAGCTGATTTCTTTGTCATGCCACTACCACCAAGCCCCGGTTACTCTGCAGTATGTGCCAACTAAAACTGTTTAATTTATAAATCAAACTTTTATGTACATTCGAAAGTAGGTCATCTCACTGTGCAACAAACAACTAATAAATTTTGACTGATTTCACCAAAGAACATGTCTTCTGCTTAATCCGAAGATGGATATTTTGTTAGTGCTTTGGTCCTGATGTTGAAAAACAGAAAAAACTGTACATATAAACAACGTCATGCACGTGAACAACCGATGCAGGCATTTCTGTGCGTATTCTACCGACCCTATTTAAGTTAGAGGGGTTTGAGGTCCCCTGATTCCTTTTTCAGTCCAGAGAAAATTACCAACTGGTGTACTTTGAAAAAGGTCCGTGAACTATGGACAAAACGTTAAGTAGTGGTCTGTCATCCGATAGCTGGTGGTACTGCTATTCTCTCTGTTTTGTCACTAATTGGCCGATGTCATGGTTCCATGTGAACTAGGTCTCCAATCACGCTCGTTCCCTGTGTTATTCAGCTGTTACCGTTACACCTTCGACCACGTGTCGAGTGGCTCGAGCTGTCAACTTGTCATTACTGTATTTCGCTTGCTTTGCTTAGATATGCAGTTCCTTGAGAATTGCGATTAAGGAACAGATTGAGCCCTTGTCACTGACTCGTCTCTGTTTCAATGCACCGCCGTGCTGCTGATTGGACGTTGCGTCCCGACCACCGA